AAAAAAAAAAAAAAAAAAAAAAAAAACTGTAGCAAATGCAACTTTTAGATCACTTGTAAATTTTTGTTGATCCAAAGCAAATCCATTAACATATTTAGCCAGTAAAAATTAGCTTTGATCTACTCTATTCATGGCTTGAGCCAGAATTCTAATTTTTTATAAGGAACTCACCTTAAGTATTTTAAACATGGCATATTTAAGACATGTATGTAGTGCTAATCAATCACAAAACTGTTGCTGCATATCCATCTTTTGCTTTAAGTGAGAGATCTATTTTTTCATTCAACATCGCAACATAAGAAGCCATGAGTTTTATTTGAAAGTAAAGTATTTATATTTGAAATTTTATGCGAGGTAACTCAACTTAGACCCATCATACATGATGAGTTAAGGAAGAGGTAAAGAAGCATAAAACTTAATGGCAGTTAGGACTTGAGAAGTGAAGAGATTACTTCAGTGATTTATTCATTGATATTTGCATACATCTTAGGGTACTAGATTTACTTGAGTAAGTTTGGCAAAGTTTCTATTTACTGATAGCATTTTCAGTTGGCTGAAGGGTCAAGTAGGAGCTAAAGTAGGGTCAAGTAACTAGCATTTACTTTTGTTTTGTGTCTTTATATTCTTCAGATTATAAACATTTTTGCTGACATATATTTACCTGATGCTCGCTAAGTAGATTGCTTTAGGAATATGAATATATAATAGTGACATAGTTACGGTTATTTATAAATAGGGTTAAAGAAGTCTGTTTTATGTCTCTGTATCACATGTATATTAATTTGCATATGCAGAAGTAGCTACTAGTATTCACATTAAAGAGAAGGAGAAAGTTGAGCAAATCAAGCAAGAATAACAAGGAAGAAGTTAAAATAGGGAAACATGTTACCCAGTCTGATGTAAGTGCTGAAGTTATTGAAACAAAAACTAAGATGAGACTACATTTGTTGAAGAAAATTAAATTTGATGAAGAAATATTGGTAGAGAGATCAAAGGAAGAGCTCCTGCATGTGAGCAAGCTGATCTCTTCTATCAGGGGGTTCTTTTATGAAAGATGCTATAAGACAGGAACATATTCTTTCATGAATAACACCTCATATTAATAATATATATATTTATAATTATTGTTTATATTAAAAAGGTTTTGTTTTAATTGAGATATACATTACTGCTTGAAAAGATTTGGGTTATTGTTCTTTGGATAGGATTGTGCACACAGTCTCTCAGTTAAATATATTCCAGCAGATTATATGTATAAGTGAAACAATCTCAATGCCGTAGTTATTCTACCTTTCTTTAAAGATGTTAGTTTTAGGTTTGAAGAGAAATAGGTTGCATCATTAACATAATGAAACAGAAATTCCAACTTAGCACAGGTCTGAATGAGTGAGATTTGCCTTATTCACTGTGAAGTTAGCCTACACATCAGCATCATGATGGCATAGTTTCCTTATCGTCTGCTTGCCTGGATTGATAAGATTTGACAATTATCATATTCAGTCCATAGTAGGCATATATTTTTTAGATATGCATCACTGTTTGAGGACAAGCAAAACATAGAAGCCAATGGTGTAATTTAAAGAAGTGCAGTTGCAAAAGACTTCATGCAGGTAACTTTTTACTGAGCAGGGAATAAATAGACTATATCAGACTTGTAGAACATCTGCTGTCAGTGTGAGCATGTGACAGCCACTTGTGTTCTGACATTATGGATGACAATACAATAAGTCTATTTTTATATTTTTTACAGGGGAGCACTAGCACTGATGAGGACAGTCTGACAGCAGCCTCCGTGGAAGGAAGCCATATGGAGGATAATAAAGTATTTGAGCCCACTGATGATGAGGGGGTGGAGGAAGAAGAAGAGGAGGAGGAAGATGAAGAAGATCTAAATCTCAGGTTTTTGATAGGAGAAGAGACTGAAGAAGAGACAGGTAGGCTGGTAGCTAACTGTTTCTACAAACCCATCTTTGAAGATAGTTTCCAAGCTGTGCGAGACTGATGTAGATTTGTGGACCCTCAATAGTTAAATGCAATATTGTATTTTGCAAGCACTGATGACACAATTGACATATAAGTATGTTATGTTATGTATATTTCCTTTTTGTTTTGAAGTATATTCTCTTATCTGTGTTCAGATAGATAGAATTCGGTATGAAAATATAAGATGGTCGACAACAACAATTAGCAGCATTGTCAGTTTTGTGTGTGAATCATGTGAAATGTCATTTCTAAGAAAAACAACAACTGCAACTCCTGATTCGGTTTCTTTTTGAGGTTATATATGTTATATAGAACAGGAGGATATGTAGAAGTGTGAACAGGCACATGTATTTATACAAGCAGAGAGAAACTGTTAATTCATGTAGCTGGAAGACTGACATAGATGGGATATGCTAAACATATGCTTTTATTAAGGAAGAGAGTTTGGTACTGTAGTGTGTATGGTTAATGTTGTTATTAAAAGAAAACTGCAGGTCTGCAATCAATGCATGTTCTGAAATATTCTCTTGATTTTTCTTGTATTTGGTTTTCAGCAGACCACCGCTACCAGACAGTGTATAACTTACTGCAAAGTGAGCGCATCTACCAGCTCGCACTGAAAAGCATCTTTGAAGTATATGCTGAACCTCTCAGGTACCAAGCAAGTATAGGCAGCACCATATAGGGCCACAAACTCAGTGTTTAAGTTAATATTTGTTCTTGGCCAGTACTTTTAAAATGCTATTTATAAGTTATTGTAAAAAGAACTTCTTAATCATAAACTTTTTATTGGAAATACTTTGATTGAAATATTGGGTGTGGTTACAAATATTTATAAGGCAGTATTAAATATGAACACTTTTTTTATTGCTTTTTGATCAAAATGCTGCCTTGCTCTAAAGGTTACATCTATATACCATCTGTATAAATACCATTTGAAGATAATAGATTCACATTAGAGACATTTACAAACTCCATGTTTTCTTGTCACAGGTGTTATATGATTGCCACTTCACAGCTTCTTGTCTGAGCTCAATCCATGTCAAGTTGTAACTATAAACACTTGAGGCAGCTAAAAAACTTTATTGCATGCCATTTTGCAAAAGGCAAACATAAGGTTTATTTCGGATTTAAAGTTCACAGAGATGGTGTTATAGAAGAAATTGTACAATGTTCATAGTATTCATGTTTTTTTTGTTTTTTTTTTGTAGAAAATATACATCATGAATTATAGAATGGTCATTTTAGGACCATTTTCTCACTTTGGTTTAATCTGAATGAACAGTAGAATGCATTCTTTGCATCTTCCCCTCACAGAGGGTAGCTGCCCAGTATTTCTTTACTTATAAAGCAGGTATTGTGTCTTTTAGCATTGACACAGGCGATTTTAAACAGAAATTATAAGATTTAAGATGATGGAAATTCTGACCATAAGCAGGCCATTTTAAAGAAAGACATCTGGAAACAGTTACCTCTGCTCTGGCTGTTTTCTGACATGAACAGTGTGCAGCACATCTAAATTATGATTGCCTCAAATATGTGTTTAATACACCTGACACAGTGATGTTCAGACCTATAAATACTTTATTTGTTTTATTGCTGAGCTTGGGTGGATAATAGATCATTCGTCCAAGTGCTGAGTTAAAGCTGGCACTCAATTTTGAACAGAATGTGATAGGTGTTCATTGCTGCAGCACATCCAAACACAACTGCTAATTTTTCTTTTGAAAACCTGAAAGGGGTCTGTCTATGGATATAAATTGTGCATAGAAAAGGAAGGTGATTTTTAGATTGATGTTATCTAATATTTGCTTTATTACAGTGAATATACTTACATAACACTTATAAAAGAATCAACTTTAAACCAATTTTGTACCACCAAATGCTTTGATTAAATTTTGTGTGGCAATTTTGTTAGGTTTTGTCAAGAAGAATTTGTAATTAGATTATATAACAATCATTTTTTGCATCATGGTGTTTCAGTTCATATGTATATTTTCAATGTCATTTTGTGTTTTAGAAAATTTACATCTCAAAGCAGAGAAGATCATATTCTGTTGTTTAGTGGTGCTGAGGCCCTGCTGTCTCTGTCTTCCATGCTCACTCTTCGGGTAAGTTGTTAAATTTATTTTATATTTTTATTATTTTAAATACTTTTACAATATCATAAAGCAGGACTAATACCCATACCATATTCTTCTTGTCCTTATACTTTGTGTTTGCTTCTTTGCTGATGCTTCTTTACCATAAGTTTGACTGTCTTTGAAACCAGTTCAGAATATTAGATAATCAAATTGCAGAAAGGTAATAATTGGCCATAAAGAAAAAGTTGATGCTAGTTGTGAAGAGAAGTGTTATCTCAATTCTTGACTTTTGCCATAAGTCAGAGAAATGCAGTCTACTTACCATGGCAATAAACACTTAATCAATACAAGATGAGGATTTCAAAGCTAGTGAAGTACCAAGGAATTTTTATTTATGATAAATAGCTACCACGATGCCAGATGTGCCCCCTAGCCCTCCTCCGAATCATCCTGTCTCCAAGCAGTATGATGGGAGAGCAACACTTCCTATGTCCTTAACCCAGTGCAAGATACATAAAAAAGGAATTTAATCAGTTTAATCGGTCACCTAAGTGGAGGATGATTTTGTCTTGGTGTTGATTCTCTAGAAAGGCTAATCTCCTCACTCTTGAAATTGGTTCTGGCTTTATTCCCTGCATAATAGAAAAAGTGTGAGATCTCCTTAGATCTGGTAATAAATGAGTTTGATGAATGCCTACCCACTTCTTACAAACGGTATGTTTTTATAGCAAGTTCTGTATCACTGTGCATATAAAGGTGGTATTAAAGTCTGAGCCATTATTATCTGGATTGCTGAAGCAGGCAGGTGAACAGAAGTAAGTCCTTCAGTTCTGTTTAAATGTTGGGGTGGGGACATGTAAGCATGCTTCTTGTAAGTGATATCTAAGAATTATGAAGATATCTGCAATCAATCCAAGTCCACATTTACTCAGAGATGTCTGGAATATTTCTATCACAATTTGAGGCAGGCATAGAGTTGAAATCATTTGTAGTCAAAATTTGAAACACAGCATTTATCATCTTGAAGCATCTTACTTTGAAATCTGGAATTTAGAAAACCTTTTAAATTGAATTTAAAATGGGCTTTCTTCTGTCATGCAAGTTCATTATAGGGTTCACAAAAGCTCGTTTATCTATATAAAGATTGACAGGAAGTATTTTTTCACAATAAAACCCAGTTCATATTACAGTTCTTTGCTTGTTCGTTTGATCATGTGATATGTTGAAAATCACACCACTATGGCCACACAAATGATGCCCTAGCTTCATTGAGAAATAAGAAATCAGCATTCCAGCTTCGTTTCAGGAGGTAAAGAGAAGCTGGCACTAGCCTCAAGCTTGTTACACAATACAATGGAAAAAAGTCATAGGGTTCCACATAATCTGATCTCCCATATTTGCTTTGGAATTAAAAGCACAGGAAAGCAATGTGGCAGAAAATCTCATTCAAAGAGTTACGCGCTTGCCAAATAAAAAAGATTCGCTCTTCCTTGACATTGTGGTTGCGCTGTCGTTTGATCAAAGATTGAGACGTGATTTGCTGTTTTGATGGGCAGATTGTTGTGGGAGTCGGAATTATTGGAAGTATGCATTGAGTTGAGAATAGAATTTGGGAAAGGCACGGGTAGCAGTGTCGTTTTATTCAGTCTCACTGTAGTCAATCTGGATGTACATACATGAAAGTCACCATGGGTTTTACAATATGCTGCAGCTAGTGGAATTTGCTCTCCAGAATGGAGTTTATTCATAGATAATAGGTGGGTTACAGTAGGTTTTTCAAAAATTTATTTATTTTGCCTTTGAACATTTTTAGATTGTGCTGCATATAAAGGCATCATGAAAGTCTCAAAGAATTAAGTGCCATCCATGAATGTAGGAAAGAAGTTAGGAATGAATTGTGCTGCTTCAGGGTCAATTGATAAATTATTTTCTTAGATATCATTTAACCAAATAAAGATAAGCTGCAGTTCTTGTTTTTAAAATTGAATGTAGATCCCCCACCTGGGATTCGGATATCAGTTTTTTTTTCAATTAAATTGAAAATATTTATAAATAGGCCAATTTCTTTAGGCACAGATAAGAATAATTAATATATATTTATCAGGTAGCAATAAATAGATGGTTTTCATGTAAAACCACTGTTGCTGTGCATAATTTATATATTTTTCAAAATATACCAGATATCTTTGATCTGGCATTTCTTTTTTAAACTTGTGATAAACTTGTTTCAATAAGGTTTCATTATCTCACATTTTCCAGCCTGGAGTTGTATGTTGGCTAGCATTCTGTTGGCTTAAATGTCATCATTATAGGGTTTTCAAATTGAAATGAAGCTTACATTTTATAGATTCCTTTGTGAACAGACAAATTGTACAGTTTTGTCCCATGCTGTGTCTATGTAAGTGAAAATGTTCATCCCACAGTATTCTTTTCTTATCTATATGGTTTATAATGGTTTGACATAGAAATAAACCTTTCACAACTACTTGACCATAAATCCTATCTCTTACATAAAAAATGAATAGGCAGTCATGAGGAGGACCAATTATAGTTACCAAATACATTTTCCTATGTGCTCGACCAATTTTCCCTAATGACCCCTATTTTTCTAATGTATGGACAAGTTAAGTAATAGGTCTTGGTTGAAGCTTGTGACAGTGCCCCAGTGATATAATTGAAAGAGAAAAATGTGCTTGTACCATGAAAAAGAGTGTACGAATGTGAGAGAAAAGAATGGTATTTTGTTGAGAATGTGAAGGGGATGAAGTGAGGCATTTTGGTTAATGTGTGTTCATGTACATAGTTACTGGACAGAGGTATTTAAAGGAGATATGTTCGTCATCGTCTAGAGAAAGAAAACTGAAAAGGAAAAAAGAAAATTGTATACCTAATTTATAAGCCATAGATCCCAGCACAAGGCAGGTATGCAAGGTAAAGCATAATCTTCTGAAACTAAGAGGGTCTGCAGCAGTGAAACCAGAGTCTAATCCAGGCAAAATGAGAGTGGAGATTAGATTGAAAAGGCTCATGTTTGCAATAATGCTTTTCTTTTTGCTGGGTTTCTTACCTTGTATTTCAGACTCTTTATAGAGGAAGCTGTTTTAAGTGAGCCTTTAGGAACAGACTGTAAACTGAAAATAGAATGGCTTGTGGATAGGTCAAGGGATTGCTGAGCTTTTGTGGAAACTAAAAACTAGTCATTGTATATATTGTACCAGTATTGCCTTTGATGATTTGGGATAAGATGGACAAGTCCTTCTAGGCTGTAATCTATTTTTCTATTATCTATTATTGTACTCTAGTTTTCTCTTTTATCCCTGATTTCTTTTTCTTTGCATGTAGAAAATAACACTGCACGTAGATTGAAAAAAAAATGTTGATCAGTTCTAGCAAGACATAGCATATTATATCTGACTCTGTCATTACTGGTACCTGAGAGCTAGTCCTGTTATTTTTGTATATGAAAACACAACTTGGGTACGTAGGATAAAAACCACCCAGGATTGGTGAGAAGGATAGACTGACTACATGAAGTTGATTCAGTCATGAGTGGTTGTGGTAATCAATGTGCTGTGTCAGTTGTGTTACCACTGAGGAGGTGCTGATTGTTCTTCTCATGCGCTCGTTTGTGTGCTCTTGATTCTCATGTGTGGGATTGTGTTGCACACGCAGTCAGAGGAACTAGTTGGGTGGAAAGTGGAAAGGTAGACTTTCTAAAGGCAGAGCAAATAGTTGACCTGGGTGAAAAGTCTGATTTGTCACCTGTGTTTGCCCACTTTGGCTGCGCCTTTCTCGATTGTTTACAGATGTGTTCTCACCTGTTTACGAATACGTAACCAGTGACTGCAGGAAGTGCACAGGTCTGTATGCTTTGATGCTTTCAGTTTGTTTAAAGATTGACTTTAGGTAACTAGACATTAGGCCAACAATGACGTCTTTGAGAAGGGGAGATTTTTACCACAATAGAGTCCCGTTTACGCTAGTATGATCTTGAAGATGTCAAAGAATAAAACTAATGGGACAAATCATATTGGCTGGTTTGCGAGTGTTCTGGTACTGGCAAGTTTAGTTTTCTGTGTGCTGGATACATTGTGATTTTCATTTTGAGATTTTTATGACTGGGTAGAAATAGGAGGGATTCATCTTTGGTTCAAACAAAAAGTTTGGCATTTTACCAAAAAATTCAACTTCATGTGAAAAATGTGTGCTATTATATACAGCTTCACAGAGGAAAGGAGGAAATGCAAAACATGGAGTAAGTAGTGCCAGTAGCATAGAAAGCAAATATTCAAGAGCACCTTAGGGAAAATACATTTCAGGACACACATTTTACAGGTGGTAGAATGTAGACATGTAAAGAGCTTGTCAAGTAACATGAACCTTTTTCAATTCAGATTACACGTGACCTTAGCATTGCTTGTTTAAAGAAAACACACACACCCAGAAGGACCCAACAGTGTTATTCATAATTGCTACACTTTTTTTGGATTAAAACTAATCAGGTGTATGGGAGGGGTGTTGCATGTATTGTATGGTGGGAAAACACAATATTTCACAAACCTCCCAGAGGGACATGGGTGTCAGTTGATAATGGACAATGTGTCATGTTCTAAGTTGCCAATCAGGCCAGAATGTTTAAATTTTAGGAAAGGTTATGAAAATCTTAATGTAGGTGCCACACTACATAAGGATAGCTGTGTGGATGAAAAGAGGATTAGATTTTGGAAATAATAAATTTTCCTTTATGGCTTGCAAAGAGAAGAGCATAATTTAAGCTCTTTTTTTTTCTTTTTATATCAGGATTCCTAATGATCTGGCACAGGTTTTGGCAATTATATCTGTAAGTTTGATGTGACAGTCAGTTTTGAATTGAACATTACAAGAATAGCTGATCATGTCCACATGAAAAATATGCAGATAACATATACACAAAATTCTAAATTTAAAGGAAAATGAATCACTTATCCAATTTGCCGTGGACATAATATATTATTGATCATGTTTGAGGGCAATAACAAAAGCATTTTCCAAAGATATAACAGAAATGAAAAAAAAAATTAAACAAGGATTGCATGCATTGACATATGAAGAGTGTAGTTGAACTGACAACCCTAGCAGGTTATGGATGATCATAGTCTTAAATTACACTGAAATGACAGGTGATTATTGTCTCAAATTGCTTCTCATGTCCTCAGATAGCTGGTTTGGTGACTTTATGATTTGATACTGATTTCTAATATTATATTGTGAGCTTCATCCTTAAGAAAGGATCATTTGTTATACTTAAGACTTTCACTTGGAGGTCTTTTTAGATAATTTTATTTGTAATAAGTATTAAAAGTTTGGTGGTAAAATATATAGTTGTGCAAATACCAAAAAACTTTTAAACATAGCATTTTAATGATAGAGATTAGAGATGTGGCTTTTCATGTGAACCACCAGGCTACAAGTGTCAGAATTGGATTTTTTGTCAAAAGTCTGTGCGTTTGAAATTATAGTCATTTAGCATGTTGGGAGTGTGGAAAGATTACTGAAGTGCTTTTGTTCTCAGAGCCTATGGTGATGTTACCAGTTCATCAAGTGTCAGTGGGAGCAAGGTGATCCATGTCACCACAGGCAAAGAAAATATTCAGCTGGTAGAAAAAGTTGGTTTGAAAAGATCACAATTGAAAGGATGAAAGTGTACAACTTCCCCGAGATGTCCTAGCAGTGTCCTTATTATGGAACAATATCAGGATAGCGTCCCTTTATGGCCTGACAGTAACAGCTACAATACAGATTTTTATTTGAGAAAAAATTGTAAGTTTATTTATTTATCATCCATGGGAAAGACATGTAAGAAAATGATTCTGTAGCTGTGAATGCTCAATAATATTTTGAACCCATTACAAATGCCTAGCAAGATAACCTGGAGAGTAATTAGCCTAACCAGTGAGTTAATGTAGTAAACAGTATCATGGTGGAGAAAGATGAATTAAGCCTACACTTCACTACCCTGGCAATAGCCTTGCAAAAGATAAGATGTTTTCCTGATGTTGTGAAATTCAAGATTATACATGCAGCATTTGACCAAAGATTTATTTCAACTTTTATGTTCATTTTGATGGAGATTTGTAATCTTTGTTATTTATCTGTCACCTGTCATGCATGATGGATCAGATTGATTTGTGAGATGTGGGTTCCAGTAAAAAAAAAATTAATGTGTCTGTATGTGTGTGAATAACGTAATTCTAGTCTTGCCAAGCAATGCAAAATTTTTTTTAAGTCATGTGCAAAAATTTATGCCAAAGGGAAAAAAACTCTTCAGCTGTTTTGTTATGTTACGCAGCTTTAAAATCCTTTCAAAATATGTGTGTGGAAATGAAAAAAAGAATGAAAAATTCTTATAATCTTCATCATTCTTTTTTGGTTAAAAAAGTTTTAAGGTCCAAGCTTTCCCCTATTGGAAATATGCCAAAAAATAGAAAAAAGGTGAAAAATTCAAGTTGCATCACTATAGGAGAGAATAACATAGCTCTGATTGCAGCTTGTTTGTGCGAAATTTTGATTAATAGCCAGGGAAGCTAGCACCCATATATAATCTTTGTTGACAAATGTTACTTTTTTATCAAGATTCCTGTCAGCAGAAGTGATCCTATCAGACATGTTGACAAAATGTGTCATGTTAAATGGCCTGTATGGAGGCCAAAATCATAGCACTTGGAGAAGGAGTTACAGAAAATTACACATCAGCTGATATATTGCCTTTCGCTTTGTGATTTATATCCACAGATCTGGTTTACTTTTTGCTTTAGGAATGACACTTTTGTTGGATAATCCCCATGAGAATATTTGCAAAGGAATTGTGCTTGGCTTATTAGACTCACACTGAAATTTTTTGTCATCATAGTTATGCTGTTCCAACATCTAATGAGGAAAGATAAATATATAGTTTGAGAGCATGTAAGATTATTTTAACCTTGTGTTTTATAGCTATACTCAGTCTCTGGAACTTTAAATATTGTTTCATGTTTACCCTCTGATCAATTTACATTACCTTAATGACATTGTTTTAATTATATACAGACAGCTTGCTTTTGGATTATTCTGCACCAGTCATTAAACAAATGGATATGTAGAATAAGCAACAGTAGTTTATATTGCTTATCTAACCATAATAACTTCTAGTTTACAAATCACTAATGAGTGCAAAATCATGAGTTTTGTCCAATGGTGTTAATCCAGAAACAAAACCTTCTATTTGGACGGCTCAGGTGTAGTATAGATTTTGCACAGTTCATGTGGTGCTCAAATCAGTGGTAGGTCATCGAAATTGAATAGGAAATGGATGGCGATACTGTAGAAGGTGATACTGTTGTGAATTAATGCAGGTTTATAACCTAACTGCTTAGTAGAGGGGATTCTAATGCACAGTGGTTTTAGTATAACAAAGCACATTGTCAGCAGATCAGTTGGGAATGTATTATATTGAAGCAGTTGCGAAACGCAGCCCAACTCTGCTGGAAAATCGCCTTCATTAAGTTGGTAATTAGTCTTTTGAGGGAAAAGTAAGGGAACAAACATTGCCCATGTGGGTCTTGAGTTGTCCATTCTTCAAGCTGTAATGTTGGGCAACAGTGTTTTCCTGTATGATTTTGTGGTATTTTCCATAGAATCTCAGTCAGATAAGGCAGGAGCACTGTTGACTATAGTTCTAACACTTTCTGCTTATAACAGTAGAAGATTAAGAACTTATGTAAAAGATTGCTACTGTATGACAGAAAGGTAAGCCTAATGTGTATATGAATACTGATGGCTGGTTGACAAGTGATTCAGATGAAATGATACAATGATAGCAAGATTTTACAATGATATGATAATAGAAAGGTATTTATTTGTAATGTTAAAGTAAACTGGGGTTAATTTGACTAGGAATACTGCCTTACATTTTGAGTTGTAGCACATCGATCAAAGCATTTTTAAATTCATTAAAATCATTCCATGGGAAAGAGATCATAAGACATTCACACTGTACATCACTTTATGACAGTGTTCTGATATAGGATGCCACTTTATAGGTAGTGAAATACCTCAGAATGTTCCTATTCTTTGATAATGCAAAGCATTTAGCAGTAGATAAAGTGGACATAGCAAAACTGAACAAGAAATAAGCTATATTTCCATCATCAGATTGGATTGTTTAGTCTGTTTTTCATGGCTCACAGGCACCCCTCAGGTGAAAGTTTCACTTATTGGAACAGGATTTAATTCAAAGCCCTCATCCCTACTCATCACTTCAGGAAGCTATGCTTACAGAACCCAGTGATGAAGTATAAAACATGCATTAAACTAATTAATTTATCAATCACTATATGTTTCAACTGATCTAATGTAAAGGCTATTTTAGTCCCATGTTATTGAAGGTAGATCAGTAATGATGTTTTAAGGAAGAAACTAGTTTGACATTTGAAGATCAGGCAGTAATGGGTTCTTAATAGGGACTGATAAGTAAGACACTGTAAAGACAGTTTTATTTGCACCTTGCTGAAATCTTCTTTTAAAGTGTACAATAAAATTCTTTTAAAATTATTTGTGAACATATCAATCATATGGTGTTGAAGTATGTTTTGAAAAATATAAGGTGTTTGAAAAATATATCAGGAAATATTCAACAAAAAAAGAGGGTTGTTTTTTTTCTTACATATGCCTGCCACATTTTGCGATTTTAAATCCCATTTAGTTAACTTTTTTTAAAATTTGCTTGCATGTCTTTATGTGTAAAAGATACTTTTTGTGTCAACTTTTGTTTTTCCCATGTTACTCACTAATGAAAGATTTGAGCTATTTGTCAGAAATATTTGGGGATATTTGTTCATTTACCTTTGGACTGTGGCAAAAGAGAGAAAAAATTTTATCAATTGAAAATATTCACAAAGATTTCCTACAGCACACACTTAGAGAAAGTGAACCAAAAGTAATTTATGTCTGGCAACTTTACGGTTGGATATCTTTGCAAATAACATTATAATTATTTTTTCCTTTTTGAATGGGCTTGAATTTGCATTGTGTTCTGAAAATGGATACAAATATCTATATTTACAGTAATTGGTGGGTGATATAGGGTGTATTGGAGCCGAAAGTCCATTTCCTAGTTGTATAAATAGTTATAGAGGTGTAAAAAGGATCAACAGTTCAATTGTAAACATGGTTTTCTGTTTCTAACTTCCGCTCTGAAACATGAGGAATAAGTGTATAGGATTTCTTGAGCTTTGCAGCAACGCAGATGGGAAAATCAACTCAGTTTAATTTTGGCTGCTAAATAAATCTGACTTGATGTAACAGTTGTTTATAGCACCAACATTACTTTGACGGTTGCCTGGATGCGTGCAAAGCCATTGCCGTTATATAGCTAGTGTAAGGTATAAAAATCAAGGTCCAGAAGCTAGGAGGCTGCTTGCCCCAGGACAGTTACTGAATCATTTATGATTTAGTCTGTGATCACACATTATAAAAGTGCCTGCTGGATCAAAAGTCTCTGACTTTATAGCTCATGTGATGGCATAGGCTTGTATGCCATGCACTACAGTGCTGCTGTAAATGAATATAGCAATTCCTGAGTACCTGTGTAGTGGGTGGTATATCTTTATTACTGGACATTATTTCTGCAGGTTAAGTAATTTATTGTGACACTCCAGTTGAAAAATTGTATAATGTGTAGTTCACATTTGTGTTATAACAGTAACATCAGTTTAAATGTGACTGTATTTTACTTTTCCAGTTAGAGCACACCTTGGAACTGTGGGACCCAGGTACCTCTAGGATTGGTAAGTTCACCAACTATTGTTTTAAGGCACCAGCTTGGTGACTTTATTCCTTTTTAATTTAAGTATGAAGCAATCATATTTTGGAAATGAAAAAAGAAAAAATAAAGATTAATCTAGAAATTGATTCTTCAAAATTATCATGCATGTTTTCAGTTGTTTTTTTTTTTGTCGAAATCAAATGTAAAAAGAGTTGGTGCCCAATTTTACTGTAAATGGTATTCTATGTATGTTTACTACACTTGCTTTCCATAATAGCATATCTCTTGGTTATTTATAGTTATCTGTTTCAAAACAGAGGCATTTTTACTTTTGCTAAGTAAAAATTAAAATTTACCAAACCATAAGCTTGACACACGATTTTATTTTTGAAATAGACTTGGTGCTTTTTTTTTTTTTTAATTCTTTAATAAAAATGTAAATGTATTAATGTGTGAAACTTATGTGTTAGGAATTGTGATAATGTCTCCAGTGCCTGAGGTTTTTTTGCAACATTGCTGGAAGTACAAAGAGGTTTGAATGTTAGCAAAAAGTCATCAAAGTACCAGTAGAAAACTGATAGCAGTTGCTTCATTACAAAAGATATCAAATTCAGTCCCACTTTGAAATGGTGTTGGGTTTATTCAACAGCAAATATGTCTATTTTGGCTGGCTGACAGTTTGGACATGTCCAGTGATGACCAGTAAAAGCTGTGGGTTTTCTACCGCCCAGGTAGTTTTCCACTCCAACAGTACTAGCTGTGAAATCTTTATCTGGAATTAGGTAATGAAATGTTACTGATGATGTGCTAACAATCATGGTAGTGCATTTTATCTTACAGGTAATTTGTTCTCAAAACAGTTCTGGCTGAGATATGAGGAATATCAACGGAACTTCAAAGTGATCAGACAGTGAGTACATTGTAGAGTGTTGCTTGCCTGTTGTTTTTGATGCCTGTAAAGATGTTTATAAGGCTATCACTATTTAAGGGGGCAGGGACCATTCTTTCAGGTATAAACAGCTGAGAAAGGGAAATATTGAGCCTTTTGTTAGTTTGTGGTCTGTGGTCTCATTGACAAACTAAATAGGACAGGGGAAATGAAGAAAAATAGAAAAGCAAGAAAAGGTGAGTTGGAGATATTTGTATATGTGTATACTGACAACCTTTGCTAGGGGTATGTTATTCTTCCATCTTTTTTGATGAAATAATTAAAAAGAAAGACACACCGAGGGGATTTTTATCCTAATATTTTCATAAGAAGGAATGTAGTGTAGTGTGCCTTCTGAGATTTAAAAAAAAAAAACATAATGGTATGATATCATTTTTATGGAAGCTGTTGAGCAAGTTGGGTGAGATTTTGGAGACAAAGGGAACTGTTCAGTAAAAGCGTAGGTAGGAAACATGGTTTGTTATTTTTTGATAAATCACACATGATTTGAATCAAAATTGGTATAAATTTTGTAGATTTGCACTTTTTGATAAATGTGTTAATTCAGTGAATGATTGGGCTAGGTGCACTCAGTGACAGTCCCCTAAACAACTGCCCCCCCCCACCCCTGTTAACACAAGCTAGTACATGCCAGTGCATGGTTTAAGTAAGCTTACCGTCTGTATAGCTGTTGTTTTCTTTATTAGACTTCCTCTGTAATGATGCACTTAGTGATGAAAGTGATGTCAAGTGGGGCATAGGCTTGGATATGAGCACTTGATACAATCTGGGCCTCAGAAATCACAGCCTCATATTAGCCCATGGGATTAGCAGTGGTCACACCTGACAGTTTGGGTCTTACCCAACACAATGTCTGCAACAACAAGATGATTCGTTTCTTCTGTGAGATTTAATCTTTTCTGCCAGATTTATATGGATTTCGTAAGGGAATTTATAGGTAAGAATAAAGACTGTCCACTGTCATTGTGTCCTTTCTGTTCCCTCTAGTCCAATTGATAATGACAAGTTGTTCATTTCCAAGGTCACAATTTACTGTGCTTCTGCTGTGAGCTACTGTAGAAGATGAGAAATATTTGAAGAAACTAGATACTGGCATCCTTTTTTAGCATCTGTGAGAATTGGAAAGTTAATTAAACAATATGGGGATAGTGGTTGTGCATTTTGTTAATTTATTTTGTGGACAATAATTTCAGCAGTAACTTTGATTCTGTCCTGGGTCATTTTATGGGATTAGATTTTTAGCTTCCAAGTTGGAAAAAATAAAGACAACCATCCCATTCAACAGAAGACTTTCATTAGATTAGATTTGTATACACAATAATAATAATATAGAGAAAAAAATAATACATCAATTCATTTCTAAATTTATTATTGTCTATGTCATAAAAATGGATATATTTACCAATTTGCAAAGGACATATATGTAATATTTGACATATCTTTGTGAGAAATGTTTGCTAGTAGATACCAAACAGATAGTGATCATAATGATATTGTGTGTGACAAAGATGGCATTCAGATTCATGCAAGCTTGGTCGATCCAACTCTGCAGAGGATTCTCCCTAAAGTGCAATTAGTGGAATCAGCTTAATTGTTTGACGTGCTGCCTCAAGCAGCTAGGGGGTAATAAACCATTGTGTGCTGATTTCACTGATTGTACATAGCGAGAATCTCCCGCAAAGTTGGACCTACCTAACTGCGTATAGTACGACATGTGAATCTGAGTGCACTCTAATTTTGAGAGATGGAAGGTGGAGGAAGGGATTTCGATAATAGTAGATTTGCACCCCCCCCCCCCCCCCCCCCAATCGTTTGCAAAGTAGAGACACTGCTTCATTTCAGCTTAGAAGTCAAACTTGCTTGAGTCAGACTTTAATCGAAATGTACCTGTTGTCCAGTTTTTTACCATCACAGATTAAAAATGTTTCCCTTGCCACAACTATGAGATGAATAGATTTTGCACATTTGATAATTTACGGGGAACTTCTCATCATCAATCCTCAGATCTAATGTAAAGGTGAGAGAGATATATTTAGACCCATTCAATAGAACATGACAGTGCAGCATTTTAAATATTTGACCATGAAAGTAAACATGCTAACGTGAATAAATGGCCAACCAGTCTTCAAAACTAGTTATTTGGTTTCCTGCTTGAGCAACAATATTTGCTAGAGCAAATGTCCACACCTGGAGGCAGGGGCATATACAGGGACTTTCTATAGTTGGCTGGTGGTCAGTGACTGTTTTGGCAAAGGTCACTGATTTTTGGTCTCAGGGAGTTGACCAAGCAAATAGTAGTCAAAAAGAGTTATGCTACTGATATATGAACACAGGCACTGCATGTTCCTGTCTCAGAGGAATTGGTGAATTGATGGCATGAATGGTTTAATATTGACTTTTGGAATGATAAAACTGAATGGGCAGTGCGCGGCTTACTCACAGACATTTTAAGGGGTGCTTAGTTACAAACCAAGGGGATAATTTTAGCCCTAAAGGTAAGGATATATGAAAAATTAAGGATTTATGAAAATGGTTCAAAAGGACGAATGTTCCAGCTGTTGAATGAAAAGTATGTGTTTGTTATTTACTAAACAAAATAGTAATTGATTTTTTGGTAGGAAAGTTCATTTAATGATTGGTCATCTCAGGTTAAGGAAAATGGTCAAAATTGATGAAAAAAGAAGTATTATTTCTGGATTTCATGGTAAACAAATCAATATTGATATCATTTAAAATGTTATAATGTTAGTTTGGAGGAAATATCATTGTTAATTATCAGTTATTGTTCATCTTTCTCTCTCTCCCTCTCTCAAAAAAAAAAAAAAAAGATTGCATGTTCTGTCTTTTGAACATCAATCTTGGGTTAGCTTCATGTCTGCATGTCGGTTATTCTTGTACTGTGGCAACATTAAACTGTTCCTGGACCATGTAATGAGCAGAGGCAGCTGAATCAAGTGTAATTTTTTTCTTTTGTAAGAAAAAAGGTGTGTTCAACAGGTTTAATCATACTAAGGACATTAGCTTGCTCTGTCTTAGACTGCCTTTAAAGAAACTGTTCTCGATGTTATGGTAAGTGCACTGAGTGTGTATGTGTGTCAGGTGTGGGGGGAGATGGGGGGGGGGAGATATTTGTCACAGAACGTATGATTTAGTTTTTTTACAAATTTAGCAAAGTCCATGGATATATGTATAAAGGCATTACTATGGCCTCTGAGCACAAATATATTCTCTTACTAGTAATGAACTGACATTAATTGATGGTCATCGTCATGTTTGTGTTTCAAATGTGGACTAATTAATCAGATAATAATGTGGAAGGTGCTCTTCCAAGGAAGACGTCATTGTAAACTGACAGATAAAGTAATGCAACTGGTGTCATCACTTCCACAAAGCTCATTTGACAAACAGTAATGAGATTCTAGAGAGGGGCATCAGGAGTAGAGATCGGGACAAGTTTTCATTTAAGCACTGATAGTACTAGGAATGAATTAATGTGAATGATCAATTTAATTGTAAAAGTACATTTTTCTAGACTGTTATCTGAAAAACCTAGTGCCACATGTTGCATATAAAGTTTAGTAGATGAATAACAATGTAGTTGTGTTAGGACTATAGCTTATGCTGATTGTGGCTGGAAGAAGGTATGAAAGTGGGTTTGTTTCATTTAGATAGAGTAAATTGTTTTGTTGGTGACTTATATTTCTGAACACAATTTTTTGAAAATTCTTTTCATTTTGAAGCCGTTTTAAGAGCCAGCATTGTCTGCAAATAATGAATAGAATATATGTTTAGCTTTTCTGTAGCTTTCTATAATTTAGCATGTATACAGATGCTGAATGCAGTGTATTTAAACTATTAGAATTCATCATGCAGACTTTGTTTTTTGTGATTGGCATTATCTTGTAAATGAAAATGGCTTGATAAGAATTATTTTTATAACTTGGTTTAAAGAGGATTATATTGAAATTGAATATGCACTTCAAGCTAGTAAGCATTATTTAGTCATGATAGTGTAAATCTTGTTGTTGTGCTTTGTCCTTTTACCAAAGGAACCCAGTAACATTGATTTGTTATTAGACCATTATATTGCTGTGTGAAAGAATTGATTGAAAACAGCTAGATGAATAGTAAGTAATGGTTGCGGGGAAGGGTGTGCTTTAGTAACACTTAAGACATTACACCCGAGGAATTCATTAATGATTTAAGCGAGAACTCATTCCCTCCTACTATGAATTTTGGCCAATAATAAGGGTTATTTCTTGTTGTCTCAGGAATATAAGTTATTTCCTACAAATTTCAATATAGTTTTTTTTTTAATAAAATAATAATAATATAGGCAGATACAACATGATAGTCCCCCCCCCCCCCGAAAAAAAAAAGAAAGAAAGAAAGAAAGGGAAAAAATCTTTTCTTTATATTATGGATTTACCAGTGAAGTTTGTTTTTGTCAGGTAAGTCAGCAGTATTGGAAGACTTTGTTGTGGAACCCAGCATATCAGTGCTCATGGGATGATGTAAAATCCAATACATTGATTCAAGTGAAATTGTACCACAAAAGGTTTTGTTAGACACCCTGTAAAATAATGGAACCATTATTTCATATGAAAGTTGCCAGAAACTATCTTTAGCCACTTTTTTTTCTGAATAATATATTTATTGAGCCATTGCGTTCAAATACATTTACTGATTTCATAGAAGTCAATTTTAGCATACTCGATAACATAAATTCATGTTTCTCACCATTATAACATTCAGACATGAGTTGACTTTAGACATGTTCAGTGCACTATTTTTTCATCTTCTTAAAATTGTTGTGCACTTGGCTTAGTTTGAAGAAATATATTTCAATTAGGGTCTTAATTACATCTATATTTGTTCATTATTTCAGATTTTTGAAACAGAAGTGGACAGAAGATAAAGAGTTTGTGCAGTTCTGCAGTCTACGTGTAAAACAAGGGGACGTCACAAACAAATCCATAGGGTCCTTGCTTTTTCTTCCAGTAAGTAAACAAGTGCATGTTGAAGTTGTATTTTTGAATTTTTGAATGACAGATGACAAAAATTCTGCCAGAAAGAATGGTACTAGGGGTCTTTTTATGTACTTACTTCTTTTATCTTGATTGAACATGAAGCAGTGGTACTACAGACCCAGTATCATACAAATACTAGGTAGGCTTTGTTTGCCTGGCTGCAGATTTATTTTGGCTGTGCTAGTCAAAGACAAAAATGAACACTGCTAGTGAGGTCAGTAGCTCTCTTATGATCATGTAACTTTTTTTTACCACAGCTGATGTTACCTCTAAGGTGAGCTGACTCAGTGATAAACTGCTTGGCCCTTGTCAAGTGTATAAAGCCAACAGCCATCCCATTATTTCCTATTAAAATATCATCTAGCTTTGACAGAAATTATAGGATATTAGCACTATAGACATATCTTTTCTTAAAGGTATGTAATGTATCTGGGCCAATAAACTTGTCATCAGTTGTAAATCTATCTTATTGTGTATCCTTGTTTTACCTTCTATAGGAATCACCCATCTGATAATGGTAAGGAGTAATTGTGTATAGATATCATATAAATTATATCTGCCTCATTAGCCAGCATGTGTCTTTGTGGTTGTAATTAAAACAAAATCATATTGTGTGTTTTCAATTGTAAAACCTCAAAAATGGGTATTATAATGCATAGGTAAAGTCTGCAGAGCTGTTACCTGTCAGTGGAAAAAATTGCTCCTAGCACTGGTAGCTGATAAGGGATGACAACTCCTAAGTAAATTAGTTGGGAGAAAATAAGTTTATGGTTCACTGTCAATCTCTAGTGTCATCAAGATACAGTGTTGTTTTATGTGATTTTTCTTCTTTCTTTAACCTTGTACGAATTGAGTAGGATTTAATTGAAAGGTGTATAGAAAACATAAGGACAAAGTCACCAATTAGGGCAGTTTTTTTTAATTTTTTTATAGGTAAGTAAATCGGGTATTCTGGACTGTTGGATATAGGCATTCACCATGGGGGGGGGGGGGGGGGGGGGGCAGGATTGAAATATTTGCTTACACACTGAAGGGGTGGCCTTCAACAGTATTACATAGAGCATGACTTACTGCTCTTTTGTAGCATTTGTAGTTATATGTGTTTTAATGTAGTTTCTCTGCAAACATTGCGTTTGTAAAGAAGTTTTAGAATTTAAGAGATTTCATGTCCTGCTGTGACTGTTTTGTAACATAATTGATAAGGAGAAAAGTCATTTTGGTGTTTTGTAAGATGGAAACACTAACGGAAATGAAAAATGAAAAAAATAGGGGAACATAGTCTACCTTACATAATTTCCAATCTGGTAAATACATGGCACACCACTGTTACTGTGCCTGGTGTGTGCAATGATAGTACCATTAAATAGTATTAATTATCATTGTCACAGCAACTTACAGGTTTGAAATATTATTTTTTGTGAAAAATGTTTGAATTAGCAAATGAAAGGGTGTTATTTTACATTTTTATATAAGAAGAAAATAATCACTTTCTGGTAATGTTCATAGTTCTAGCACTTAGTTGTGAAATGGTAAAAATTTATTAAGATTTTGTTCAATAATGGAAAAGGAATACAGGAAATGTTTTCTTGTCATGATATGTTTCATTTGCCTTGTATGTGCAATGGATATTTCCCTATGCAATTAAGTAGTAAAAGCTGACGAGATGAAGCACATGCATGGCACTTAAATACATAATGAAATATTCATATTGGGGATTTATATCTGTCAGCTCAACTTTCAAAACTTCCTGCCAGTACTTTTTTTTCATAGTATGTTGGTATGTAGATAGAGTTTATATTTGTGTGGAATATAATAAAATGCAGTTATCAGTCAAATTTTTATGCTTGGCTTGAGGGCTGAAGCGAGCCTATAATCAGACTCAGGTTAGATAGAAGGGTCTGGGTCGCAGTGGCCAAAGGAGGTGCTGCCATCTGGTGGTTTATAAAAGCTAACACTACTGCAGCAAAGGGAAAAAACATCAAGATGCATTCCCCATGCAGCACCATTTAACTGTGCATTAGAGGCTCTGAATTTTAGAAGGTCATTTTTAAGATCAGTAAATATTATGATTTTGGTGACTCATTCTTACCATATTTTCTTTTATTTATTAAGAAATCGCCTCAAAATATAAATAAAAATCTGATTAATATGGTTTTCTATTTGTCCTGCTAAATGCATTATTAAAACACCCTTTATTTTCAGCCAGAACACTGGCATTGGATTGGAAAGTATTGGCAATCTGAAGAATTGAGATACTTAGATGCTATGGATTTGAACATTCAATCTCTCTTATTGTGGAGGGATGCATCTTCTATTTGAAAAGACTGCTTTAATGTATATCAGAAAAGCATTTTCATGTATGATACACTTATGCCATTTTATCTCCTGCAGTGATCATGCCTTCCCCCTTTTTTGCAACTTGTCCCCTTTCCTGCTACCGATTTAATCTGAGAAAGCTTAGATAATGCCCTTCAGAAATATTATTAAATTGTCTGCCCAAGACCCAGAAACTGATGCTTATATGGCGCCTCAATCTTAATTGTGTATATAAAGTTTCCTTTCATATGATGAATACATTGATTGGAGACTTGATAGTGCATTGTTTGTTACAACATTGTTGGTTATAACTTCCCCTCTATTTCAGAGTCTGTTTTATGACATAAGAATAACAGGGACGCTTGTTGTGATTATGGAGGATTTTTTGATAGAATTATTGGGCTGGCATATCCTGTGAGACTGAATAATGAACCTTTGCTATGATGTTCTATTTACATCATTTTAAGGCTAACCTTTTTAGTGACAAAATCTGATTTTTAATCTAGTTTATAGATAAAGATGAGGATTTATTCATATTGCAACAAGTTCAATTTTGCAGTCACTGCATTTGAATGATTTCTCTTAGATTGCATTTATAATGTATATATCCCCAGGTGTTCTTATATTTCTGCAAAATTATTCATTTTTAAATATCACCTGTTTATGGTGGTAACAGTTCTGTTTCCATATTGTTTGCTTGTATATGTGTTACTCCAGTGCATTGCATAATGCATCCAGAGAGAGAAGCACAACAGAGGTCTCCTGGGTGCCAGTCATCTTGGAACATCTGAAAAGGCATCCACACTCCCTATTCCACATCACCTGTAGGCATTGTAGAGTAATTATCCTCCCCCTTTGACTGTTGCTTTAGTTTTCTGTTTAATTTACTTTTGAAAACATTTGTTTCCATTTTTGTTGGTGGGTGTTCCTTATTATGAATAATTATAGTTGTGACCCTTGCCAGAAAACCTCAATGGGGATCTGCTTATTAAAATAACAGGTAGCACAGTATGGATGTTTGTCTTTTGCAGGAGTTTGTTGACAAATAATTGTACCAGTAACTTAGTACTGTGCAGGCTTAATTGAGTGAAAAATGTATAAAAGAGTGTTGAGAGAACAGTTACAATTTTCCCACACTCGGACAGGTCAGGAAGGTCTGGACGTTTCGCATAAGTAGTGCGGAGAAAATGCCTCACCTGCGCCTTTATGGCCCTAAAACACGTGTGTCCTGCAACACGTGAGATGTCTAAAGAGATAAATTGGACAAACATTATTGCAGGCTTGAGTACACAAACTAACCTGGTTGACAAAATTGATAAATGACTGGATATTTGAAGACTTTTTTTTTCATACAGTCTTAAAGCTCCATTATAAAGTTAGAATGGAATTTGTTCTGGGTTTGCCATAAACTGTTTATCAGTATATAAATAACTTCCATTTAAATTGGTCCAAATGTTCTTCTATGTAATCATCTATTGCCTAATACGAAAATACATGTCTCCGTTGTATGATTTAAACATTGTTGGTTTTTCTTGACAAGGGATCAAATTCCTACAACTTTTCTGTAAATGGCTGAAAGTTGAGTAGTTCCAGACAGGTAGTTATATTACATGAAGAACTTGTCTTAATATATGGGGAACACTTGGAATGAAATTGGGAAGATGTTATTGTGTTAAGAGAGGAATGCTTGTAGGAGTTCTTTTTACAGTTTGCAACTTCCACTTGACTCAAAGAAATTCTTTTTCTGTTGTTTTCAATGAACCTAGAACAGGATACAACTTGTTGATTATTCTTCAAAGGCAGAGATATTTTAATGTTTACTAACACTTGCCGTCAGCTAACTTAATAAGCCCACTTCCGCACATTGTAATAGGGATATAGATATGGAAATTTCACTCCATTTTCATATCAACTATGTACACTAGGAGAATTTATTGACAAGGATCGGTTGCACAGGGTGGTGAAAAGGATGAAAAGAGATGGGGTTCCCTCGTGGTCGAATGGCTCCATTGGCCAAGTTTATGTACTCTGTAAGCCAAGCCCCATGGTCATAGAATGGAATTGCATTGAATCACTGTGCCACAATAGATTATCAAGCCCTGATGCTTCTCAATGGGCCCTTAGCTCTGACCTCTGCCGCTTTCTGCCATTGGCATTCCTCTATTAAGCCTTCATTTGCAGTAGAGGGTACTCTTCTTTAACATACAGGTTTTGGGCTATCTTATAAAGATCATCAGACTGGATTGTGGATGAAACCTTTGGGCTCTTAGGCATTTAGAATTTGAGCATATGGGGTTGGCTTTTGTCAAGGAAGTTGTGGAGTTTGTATTGAGAGAGTACATGGCGATGGGAGTCCACATTCATTGAGCTGCCATTTAGCCACATTTGATTGCCAAGTGATGTTGTTTGAGTTATTTGATCCAGTTCAGTTCACTTCTGTTGAGAAGAAAATGTCCTGTGTTTTGTCAGAGAGCCGCCAACTGGTAATGGAGCATTAGGCAACTGGAGATATCTGAACAACAGATGTGGTCAAGTTTATGTCACTTTTTAAAAGTGCAATTTTGAAAAGGAGCAGACGTCTGCCAGGCCCCAGGGGATTGACTTTCCATTTTGGGCTCAGTTACCTAGACCCATGACTAAGAGTGTCAAATTTG